CCCCCCCCATCTCAGTGTCATCTGCATATATAAACATTTTGGCCTTTCTTCCCGCTGCCTGGTGATCGTGTGCCTCGGAAATGTTTTCATTTATTTGGCGCCAGGGTAATGAAAATCAGCCCAAGCAACGGCGATGACGGGAAGGAAAACAAGGAGGCAGGAAAACAGTCGTGGGATTGACTGTGCCTGTCGCTGCTCCGTGGAGCAGCTGGCAAAGCTCCCCCCCTCTGCACAAGAACATCTTATTCAGCTGCTAATTGCTCCCAGTCCTGGTCTCGTGGCCCCTGTCCATGAAGGATTTGAGGGATGGAGCCCTGCGAGGCTCCGGAGCCTCCGTGTGCGTGACTCCACGGAGCTGCTCCCAGCAAAAAAACCTTTGGGAAGGAAATTTCCCCCCTTTCATGTCTGCAGATCCCGGGTCAGTCCCGCTGATCCCCAGCATCCGGTCCCAACGGGTGTTTTCCACTACAGAGATGCACAAAATATTCCCGTTCCAAGCCTTGCACAGGCAGGAGAGGGGGATGAGGTGGGAAAAGGAGACTCAGCTGAAGACACTAATACACAAAGTAAAAAAATAAACACCCTCAGAAACACCATCCTTGTGGAGAAGGAAAACTTTGGCACGGGCCAAAGGTTCGGAGCTAAACCCCATTTCACCTTTTATGAGGTGAAATGCAGGACCTGAGGTTATTCCAACTTGGAATATTCAGGACAACAAAAAGCCCTCAAAGTTTCTCTGCTCATCAGCTAAAAACACAGCTAAAAACACAGCTAAAAACACAGCTAAAAGCACATTCAGCTCCTGATGAATGGTGAAGGTTGTAACGACTCTGGTTTTGTTTGCATTTCCCCCCTCCTCCTTCCCGATGTTTTCCCACGTGGCAAACACCGGATCCAGCTGCTCCTTCCACGGGAGCTTCCCGGGGCATTCCCTGCTTCCTGCAGGAAAAGGAGCCGTCCAAGTGCTCCACCTCTGACATCAAGCACGAGCTGGGCACCGAAAGTGAAAGCTGAACATTCCCAGACAACATTCCTGGTGGCTGGAACCACGCACGGGATCAGCTGGGAAGGGCTGGGAATTCTCGGTTCTCCTGCATTAAAAACCAAACCAAACCAAACCAAAGCAGCAATTCGACCACTGAGGTCAAAGAGGTTTGAGGGAAGTTTAAAAACTGTTGGGAAAAAATAAAGCTGTCAAGGGCAATGGTTTTAAATGGAGAGAGGGGAGATTTGAAGAAGAAATTCTTTATTCAGAGGGTGGGGAGGCCCTGGCACAGGTTGTCCAGAGAAGCTGTGGCTGCCCCTGGATCCCTGGAAGTGCCCAAGGCCAGGTTGGACAGGGCTTGGAGCAACCTGAGCTAGTGGGAGGTGTCCCTGCCCATGGCAAAGAGCTTGAACTGGATGAGCTTTAAATTCCCTCACAACTCAAACTATTCTGGGATTCCATGATTCTATAAAATACAGATTTTTACTCCCACCCAAGGTTTTTTCACTAGGCCCCATGGAACAGATCAAAACCAACTTCAGCTTCCCCTGCTTCAACACAGAACAATTACACTCTTCATTAAATTATATAATTATAATTATATATATATATATAAAAACCAAACCTCAACCCCACTAAATTGGCTCTTGTCTGCTGTGCTCACACCTCCCTCTGCATTAGTAGCACAGCATTGAGCATTCCCATATTTTTTTTTGTGTTTGGAACAAAATCACCTCCCAGGAAAGCAGCAGGAGCTCTGTGTTCACTTCCAGGATGATCCTCCTGGACAGACCCTCAGCCCTGAGGCTGTTCCTGCCTTCTCACTTCAGGAGAATTAAGTAACAATCCCTTATTTCTGGGTAAAACTTGCCTTCCTGGAACATGTCCTGTCATTTCCCAGTGGCTGTTTGAGGCTGATTCCCAAGGGAAGCCCCTGGTTATCCCATCCCTGGAAGTGTCTAAGGCCAGGTTGGAGCAACCTGGGCTGGTGGAAGGTGTCCCTGCCCATGGCAAAGAGCTGGAACTGGATGAGTTTTAAATTCCCTCCCAACTCAAACCATTCTGGGATTCCATGATTCTATAAAATACAGATTTTTACTCCCACCAAAGGTTTTTTTCACTGGGCCCTATGGAACAGATCAAAACCAACTTCAGCTTCCCCTGTTTCAACACAGAACAATGACTCTCTTCATTAAAATTATAATTATAATTATATATATATATAAACCAAACCTCAACCCCGCTAAATTGGCTCTTGTCTGCTGTGCTCACACCTCCCTCTGCATTAGT